TAAGGGCTAGCCTTTTCCGTGTGAGGCAGTCTAGAGCGCTGAAGGAGAAGAACACACTCACAGGGAGTCATAGCTAATAACTGTAGGGGAAAAAGAAAATCCTTGGAAAATCCTTTGCTATTATTTTTTTCAAATATTTTTGTGTCCTTTGCCTCAGAATAGGACCCCCATTTTAAATCATCCTAAACCCAACATTGAGTAGAACAGTCACTAGACTGCTCCAGCCCATTACAGAGAATTAATATTTTAAAGATTGAGACATTCCCATATGGAATGTCATGCTGTGGGTTTCAAAGTGAGTGTGTCTGTATTGGGATCATAATGCCTTAGAATAGAATGGAACTTTTTAGTTTGCTTAGCACTTTCCTAGGTAATAATTAATTTAATCCTCATAATAATCTTGGGATTTGTTCTACACATCCTACACATACATTGCAACACCATTGTCAAGAGTCATATAAAAAATTTCCCAATGAAGAGTCATCATTGGTTAAAAAGCAATCTTTCCATGGTTAAAGCTATATTATGTAGTGGTTCTTTAGGAAGATGGGAATCAGTCTACCAGAAGATATACCTTTTGGGCAAATACCCAAAGGATGCTTCATCCTACCACAGAGACACTTGCTCAAACTATGTTCATTACTAGTCTATTCATAAAATCCAGAAATTGGAAACAACCTAGGTGTCCAACAGAATATGTGGTACATTTACACAATGGAATATTACTCAGCCATTAAAAGAAATGAAATTCACAGGTAAATGGACAGAACTTAAAAATATCATCTTGAGTAAGATAAACCAGACTCAGAAAGGCAAATATGGTATGTAGTCGCTCATACGTGGATATTAGCTGCTAAGTCAATGAAAAGCAAGCTACTGTCAGTAAACAGAGGTTAGTTATAGAGTAAGGGATGAAGTAGAAAAAGATCTCTCTAGGAAAGAGAAATGGAATAGATAGTTGTGGATGGATGGGGAAGATCCATGGCTATGGAAAGATCAAGTCGTGAGGGGGAGGGAAGAGGATTCCGAGGGAAGTAATAGAGAGAGACCGAGCTAAAAGTAATGGTCATCTGAGAGGCAATATGGAAACCTAATACAGTAAAATCTTCTGAAAATGTATACAAATATGAAAGTGATCTAAACGAAACTGCCAAATAATGAGGGAGACAGAGCCCAACTGGACATGTTTTGTCAACAAATGAAGCTTCCAGTACCACGATTGGGTTACATCTAATTGAGTTGTTGGTCAAAGGAGTCCCATGGGACATGACAGAATGCTACACTCATTATCTCACAGCAGATGTGGCTGCCTGCAAAAATCCTACATGGGATTACAGCAGCCATTATCCCAACACAGAGTTGGGAGGGGATCACAAGCTCCTGTCCCCAACTGAGGAGTTTTGGATAGCTGAGGGCTTCGGGAGGATGGAGAATCAATTTCCTTTGCAGGTCTAGTTTCCAGGAAGTACACCAAGCTCCTGTGGAGGGCTCCATACCCACTGAGTGTATGGGCAACGCGAACTGGACTCTGAATTATTGAAGAAGAGGATACAAGTGGGGAGGGGATGGATGGATGGGGCATGAGTTAGAGGAAGAAAGGGAGAATGAACATGACTGTGTGCTTATATGAAATTCTCAAGGAATTAGTTAAAATAGTGTATTTTTTTAAAAGGGGGGGAGAAACTCCACATTAAACTACACAGGCTTTTGTTTCAGACCGCAGAAAGCCTCGAGGGACTGTGGGTGTGGCTCAGTGCTGTGGTCAGTGGTGCAGTGGCCTGGTATATACCAGGCCCAGGGATCATGCCCAATACCATGAAAAAAGAGAAGCATGAAATAAACAGAAATTAAAAAACCAGTCCCCACAAAGTCTATTCCCAAATTTGAATTAGCTCAACTCCTGAGTAGATTAAGGTGAATGGCTCTAAGTGTTAGATGCAAAGTGTGTTCTCTGGGATGCAGACAGCACCACCCAGAGCATCATTATCTGTCCTTGTTCATTCCTGATGTCCTATAGTGAACCAAACGCTATTTTAGAAAACAGAGCATCTCTCCGACAAAGACCAACACAAATAAAACAGAAAAGAGTGTAAACTTATCAGATATGCACTTTAAAAATGTTTCTTGTTGTTAGAAATCAGATAGGAAAAAATTATCTAAAAAATAAAGAGAACTAAATGCAAGTTCTAGAAGTAAGAAATGCATTTAGCTGAAATTGAAACTGTAATAGACATGGCAACAAGCGATAAAGACACAGAGATGTAGTTAACGAATGGAAAGACCAAAATATTCACGTAGAGCCGAGAAAAAAGGATGGACATCCAGGAAGGTGAAGGGGAGAGGCAGGGTGTAAGACACATGACATTTCTGAGAGACAGAGACAGAGAAACTTTGAACATACAATGGCTGCAAAATTGACAAGTTCCACCCATTCCAGCAGGTGTAAATTCAAAGAGCGGTACCCCTAAAGCAATGTCAGTAAATTTACTGAAAATCCAAGACACAGGGAACTTCAAAGCAACACAGGTCAAGGATGGGGCATTTCCGTCCGTGAAATCAGTGAGGCTGAGCACTGACTACTTGGCAGGAAAACGGGTCGGTCCAGACGACATAAGAAAGAGTTCCTGTGATAAAAAGAAGTAACAGAGCTCAGTGACAACTGAGAATCCTCATTCCCCAAAAACTCCTTCACATATTTTCTAACAAATAAATCCACTCTGCATGAATTGCTTCAAGTAGAAGGATCAAGAAAATGCAGGAAGAAAGGAAGAACCATACAAAAGATTAAAATATCAGTAAATCTAAGTGAACACTATTCAAAGTAACAATGGTATGTTATGAATTTAAAAACATATAGTACTTAAGTATATAATAACAATGTAGGATGGTGTAAATAAAATGAAAGTGTTCTGGGGTCCTTCTAGTATATAGACAATGTAAAACTAACAATTTATATTACACATTACTTATCAGGATAGACATACAGATATAGATATATAAAATTATTAAGTCAAGAGGAATGAACTAAGTAATATGAAATTTAATCAAAAAATAAAAAATGTTTAAAAGCTAAGGAACATAAAAGAGTTAAGATAGAAAAATCATAAATTTAAATACTATTATATCTATAAATTACTATTAAAAAACAATATAATTTAATTGAATAAAAGATTGAAAAAACTTCATGCTGTTAATGAAATAAGCCTACATACTAAAATATAAGAAAATTTAATGCTGTCTCTGGTTAGATATAACTGCATGAAAATATAAATAGCGCAACCTTAATATTTATATAAAACTATTCAGTTTTAAACCAAGATATATAAGAGACAAAGTAAACAAATCTCAATAATATGTATATATTTCAATATATCAGGAAAGTATATGAATTTTTAATTTATATGACCTAATAACAAAGCTTTAAAACATGTGAAACAAATGATAAAACTGAAAGAAACAGATCAATCCAAAATCATAGTCATCGATCTTATCACACTGTTCTCAATAATGGATAAACCAAACAGATGAAATTGTATTAAATACTTAGGCATTAGTAATATAAACAATGAGCAACCTAATTCATGATAATATTTAAATAAGAATTATACCTACCAATAACAGAATTCATACTAGTTTTAAAGTGCTCATGGAGCGATATAGCAAATATATAGCACATGTGGATCCCAAAATAAAAGCTCAATGTATCTCAAAAGTACAGGAGCATGCCTGGGAGTGCAGAACTACAGAGGCAGGCTGGGCTATATACCGAGAGACAAGACAGACGAGGAGGCAGAATGATCTCTACTATGGGAGAAGAGATTAGCAGTCATAACAAAAGATCTTTTTAAAAACCCACATGGGAAAACTAAGCAATTCATTTCCAAAAGTCCTATGGATCAAAAAATAAATACAATGGAAATTAGAAAAATGTTTTTGGCTCATTGATCAAAGACTGTGACCGAGTTTTCGGGATGCACCCACCACAGTGTGGAGGGTACACGATGGGTCGGAATGCATTCATTAAGAAGAGAGAAAGTCTGAAAACCACGGTCCTAGCATCCATTCAGAGAACTCCGAGAAGACACAACAAGCCTAAAACAAAAAGGCAAACATTATAAAATACAGAACAAATATGTGATAGAAAGAATCAAAACCGAAAGATAGTGTATTGAAAAAAAACAGGAAAATTAATAAATGGCTGGAGAGACATCTAAGAAAAATAGATATTATAATACATTGTTATAGTGAAAATTAGAAGGGTGTTACTATCAATCAATAGAAAATATTATAGTAAAAAACTATAATCACGTCAAATTAATGTCATTGTTTTTTTTTTTTTTGGTGTGTTTTTTTTTTTTTTTTTTTTTTAATAGAAAGATCGTGGAGGGTCACTGCAGGCTTTAGAGCAAGCAGGGAAAATGATCAGGGTGAGATAAGAACGAAACTCGGTTCAGCCTAATTTAGGTAACCAGTGCTGGGCCAAGACTTTGAGAGTCTGACATCAGCTCATTTATTTTTTGTCATATATAAGCACACCACAATTTTGGAAAGAGTTTTCGGATAAAAATTAACTCAGTCCTGTGAGTACAACAAAGTAACAAAGTTTAAGACATGTTTCCATCGAAGCTCTTTACAGACTACAGATGGCTTCTTCTGTAAGAGGGGTTCTGTTGACTTAGAAACAATGCCCTAGATAAGGGTCTGGGGAGAACAACGGAGGTAAACATAAGGCCTGTGGGAGTCGGGATTGGCCTGGCCCTAAAATAACATAGAAGCCACTTAGGCTGTTGTAAGGTACCAATGACCTCATTCACAGGGAAGAGTTTTATGGCCTAGAAGTAATGCTCAAGGTTTTATGGTCAAAATGTTTGGGATAAACAAACGTAATATTTTGGGGGATGTGGGCAGAGCCTAGCTCATCAGGTAGCAAAGGATTACCAGGCTGTAAACTACATTGTCCCCCAGCATTCTGGGAGAACAGCCAAATACCTTCTCCTTTGGAGTGATCAGCCATTTGTTTAACTTCTCCTGGCTTCTCCAAAGCTTATCTGTGCTCACAAGGACCTTTTTTGTCCCCTACAAAAAAAAAAAAAAAAAAAGAAATGTCTGTAAGTTACGAACTAAGGCAAAATGTCAGACAGAGAAAGAGAGATATACACAATAGTACTGCCGAGTGTAGATGTCCTGATTGCAAACCACCACAAGATGACAGATGGACTGGGGACATGGCTCAGCGCGGGAAGTCATTTGCAGACCTGCCTGAAGAACTGACATGGATCCCAACAACTCACTTGGTAGACGAAGAGAACTCGTTCCAGCAAGCTGTGTGCCCATGACAAAATAAGTAAGTAAATAAATCTTTTTTTTTTTTTTTTTTTTTTTTTTTTTTTTTTTCGAGACAGGGTTTCTCTGTGTAGCTTTGCGCCTTTCCTGGAACTCACTTGGTAGTCCGGGCTAGCCTCGAACTCACAGAGATCCGCCTGCCTCTGCCTCCCAAGTGCTGGGATTAAAGGCGTGCGCCACCACCGCCCGGCGTAAATAAATCTTTTAAGAAATTAAGGGTCTTTGTTTTTATTATTTTTGATTATGAGGGGACAGTAGAAGAACACATGAGTGTGATGCCTGTGGCAGCCAGCGGCATCTAGTCCTGCAGAGCTGGTATCCCAGGAGTTGTGAACTGCCCGACTTGGGTACTGGGAACTGAGCCTGGGTCCTCTCCAAGAGGATTATGTGCTCTTAACCTCTGAGCCATCATTCCAGCTCCCCCCTCTTTTTTTTTAACTAAAGAGGCAATTATAAACATGCTATTCAAGCTCTTCCAGTAATAAAGAAGAAAAACACATTTCCCAACTCATTTTATGAAGACAGCCAAAACTAGACAAAAAAAAATATTCAAGAAAGTAAAATACAGGCCAGTAGCCCTCATGGGAGGACAAGTAGAGTTTTTAGCTCAGTGTTAGCAGACCTAACCCAGGGGTAAGTTAACTAGTTCAATGTAGTACAGGTTAGTTTAACATTTAAAAATCCATTAATATAATTGCCATATTAACAGACTAAAAGATAAAGACCACAGTACTTTCAAACAAAATTCAGAAAATGCAACTGAAAAAAAAAGTCAACATGTGCTGTGGCTAAACCTCTCAGCAAACTGGGGGTAGTCTGTAGTGGTATTTGCTCCACCAATGACGTCGGGCTAAAGGGCCCGAAGGAGGCGGTGCTTCTTGCCGTTGTAGGTGACCTCTGTTCCAGAGGACCTGGGTTCAGTTCCCAGGCCATCTGGTGTCTGATCACTCCAGGAAGCAGGAAAGGAAACCTCGTGACCCCTCTCTCCTCTTCTTTTAAGAGGTCACAAACAACGGTAAGAAGCACCACCTCCTTCCGGACTTGTAGCCCAAGGTCATGGGCGAGCAAATACTACTACAATAGTCACTTCAAATACTGTCCAAATATTTAGATGTTTAAAAATGTCCTCCTGAAACAGTGAGGACTCTTCTTCAGGTTGTCCTGGGGCTCCAGTCATTTCCATACAAATAAATTATAAACAAACAAACAAAAAAGTTAAATAAGAAGCTAATGACTGGAATAAAAGAAGGGAGCCTTTTAAACCTATAGGTAAACACTGAAAACCACCAGCAGTAATCAATATTCCTAAAAATTACTTAACCACTGACATAAGAATAACAGGTATCACTAAATGACACTTTATAAACAATGCCATCTAGCACAACAACAAAATCATAAACTATCTAAGACTCAAGTACACAAGAACTTACTGAGATAAGGAAGGGTGACAAGTACATGACTAGACATGTGTCACAAACCACAGAACTGCACACTGCAAACGGTGAACTGGGTGGTCTGAAAAAAAACGAGACGAAAGAGAGCTATCCTGCATAGCCTTGATAGCTAAGTCTGATGGAAAAGCATAAGCCTATATACAGGAGGGGGAAATATCCTGTAAACAAGAGAAGGAATTAAATAAATATCCTATGTGAGTGGGTAAATTCCTTTCTCATGAACTATGGGTCAAAAGTTCTGAAACTGTATGTCAAGAAACTTGTGCGTAAAACTGAACAAACAAGGAAGTTGTTGGTGGTAGGCATCAGGTTTTTTATTAACAGAAAAGGGGTGTCACTGACAAATAAGAAAGAAACTCTAGAAGACCACTATAAACTATACAGCTTAACACACACACACACACACACACACACACACACACACACACACACACACATATATATATATATATATATATATATATATATATATATTCTATACATTTACACCAATGGATAACCAATGGAAATGTTAGCATTCAATATATACATACATACACACATATCTGCATACATATGCTCATATGTGTGTTCATATGTGATATTTATGGATATGTGATATATATGGTATGTATGGTCCTGTATCTCCCAGTACCTCCCACTAGTAGGCCACAAAGCCTCCAAACAATGAGCACACCCAATGCCTTGCCAGAACTCAGGTTTCAACACCATTTTCAATAACAGGAAGGGCTTACAGGGCAAATGACTGCTTAAGACCAGAGCAGAGACTGTATAACGTGAGCAGTGCTACCCAAGCAAAAATCTAGGTGTGTGTCAGGGAAGCAAATGAAGGTTGTCTCTCTAATTAAAGCAGGGGACTTAAATACTAAAGCCATGCTGAATTGTTATTCAAAGTATAAATATGTGTAAATCCACATTGGTATAAATACATGATCAATTTAATTGAATCGTCCTCACAGAATTTCAAATCATATATAAAAAGCTATATCCCACAGACAGTAGGGCTCAGTACCTCAGTACCCTGTGAGAGTGGGCAGGACCTAAGCAAGAAAAGAGAAAATGCCTTTGCAATGGAACGACCTGCCAAATACTCCTCCAACCAAGTTAAGTTAGTTAACAGCACCAGCCACTCCATGTGAATACCCTAACTCTGGTACAATGTGATGAGAAAGTCACTCCAACCCCATTGTATCCTTTCCACAATGCTGCAGTCCCAGTAAAATGACAAGATAAAAAGCAGAAACCCCCCAGGCTGGGGCTGTTCTCCAGGATGCCTGGCCAGTACTAAAGACTGCCAAAGTCATAATGAAAACCAAAAACAGGAGAAATTGCCACAGGCCCAAGGAGACTGGGCAGAAAAGACAACGAAATGTGGTGTGTGGCTGCATTCTGGCAAGAAAGAGGACACGAACACGAACACTGGTGAACCCAAATCAAGTCTGGAGTCGGTTAATAGCGATGTGTTTCTGTCAGCTTCTTAAGTTGGGTAAGTGCACCCCAAGGATGGGAGAAGTGACCTGTGTGAGAAACCGGAAGAGAAGGCACATGAGAACACTTGTGTGTTTACTGTGTGACTTTCTGGTGAATAAACATATATATATTGTAAAGGAAAGGTTTATTCAAATTTTCCCAAGAGAAGGTTTTGCAGAAATTGACAACGTAATTCAAAATGTATATGGAAGCACAGTGGGTCAAGGACAGTCAAAACAATACTCACAAACAGCAGAATGTGGGGGACTTAACTGACCGATGATCAAGGTTCCATGCATTTGCTTATTAAGAGATGAGGATATTGCTAGAAAAGAGGACAGAACAAGAAAGTAAGACGATATGAAGTCGAGAAGAAGGCTGCATTATAGACTCTTGAATTATATGACAAAGAAGAAACCAATGGGCAATGGGCAGGGAGATGCAAAGGATGCTCTTAAGAAAGAGTCCTGGAAATGAATAAAAAAAATTATTAATAATGAAAAAAATAAAAATAATTGAAAAAGAAAGAGTCCTGGCAAGTAACATAGCAAGTTCCAGGCTGCAAAGTGAGACCCTGTCTCAAAAAGAAGAGGAGGAGGAAGAAAGCAGGGGGAGGGGAGGAAGGAAGGAGGAGAAGAAAAGGAGAGGGGAGAGGAAGAAAAATGACAGCTCAGGACATTTGTGAAAAGGAGAAGAAAAGCTTAGGGGAGATAACATAATAGTATGCCTCGATAACCGGGGATACACAAGAATTCATTAAACACAGACACTGAAAAATATCCATTACCAATGATGAAAATGGGTTACAAATCTGAGTACAAATCAGTAAAAAATATATAATTTTAAAAAACATTTACAAGAAATCCATATTATAGAATGCCGAGAGGCCAATAAACCTATATGAATATTTGCTTAGCTTTTATTGCTTATCAAATAAGTGAAATTTTAAACCAAAATGAGATGTAAACATTCAGTTGAGTAGCTAGTATTAAGAATACCACAGCAGGCCAGGTGGTGGTGGCGCATGCCTTTAATCCCAGCACTCGGGAGGCAGAGGTGGGTGGATCTCTACGAGTTCGAAGCCAGCCTGGGCTACAGAGTGAGTTCCAGGAAAGGTACACAGAGAAACCCTGTCTTGAAAAAAAAAAAAAAAGGAATACCACGGAAGGCATGACGAAGAATGCTGCCTATAATCCAAACCCCTGGAAGATACAAAGATTGTGAATTCAAAGCCTGCCCTGGCTACATAGGAAGACCCTGTCTCAAAACTGAAGAAGGACAAAGAGAGGTGAGAAGAGAGGAAAGGAAAATTGACTACCCACTCAGTGTCGGTGCTGGTGTTACACAGCTAAATTCTCTTACAGTGTTCATGAGAATGTAAATTGGTACAACCACTTTGGAAACTTGTCTTGTATTTACTACAAAAGGTAACTACTTAGCCTATGCCAAGCAACCTCACTCCTAGGTATATGTCCAAGAAAAATATAAACACACACACACACACACACACACACACACACACACACACCACAAAGCTTCATACTAGCTTTATTTATAATAACAATATACAGGAAATAATCCAAACATCCATCAACAGTAGAATCAATAAATAAATGATGGTGCACAGACACAATGGAGAATGCTCTAACAAAAACTATGACTGAATTAACTTGAATGCATCACATATACTTATGCTGGGAAGAACAGGAATCTCCCACACATTTCACAAACAGTCAATGTCAATCTGTCTTCCCAGTAACTCTAAGGCTTGCCTATGGAAAGGGACTGAAGACTTCATTCTAGGATGTTGGCATCGTGGTCTTGCTTAATCTGAGTAATAGTCATTCTTTAGATAATGTAATTATTTTTTAAATGATGTTTTTATTTATTCTTCGAGAATTTTATATAATATATTCTTATCACAACCATTCCCCTATCCCAACTCCACCCATCTCTTCCCCGTCTCACTACCAACCCAACCTTATATTCACTGTCTTAGAATTAAAGAAAACACAGCATCAAATTTATGTTGGCTATTACATTCCTAAGCATGGGGCCAGCGTTGAAGTGTGGTTGCTATACCCACTGTTATTCCATTGAAGAAAACCAAGTTTCACTCTCCCAGCAATCAATTCCAAATAGCTTCTTGACTGAGGATGGGACTTTATGCCCACTTGCTCTTGTCTAAGATAGGACTTTGTCTGGCTTGAGCTTGTACAGGTCTTGTGCATACTGCCATAGTCTCCGTGAGTTCATACGTATAATCTGTCCTGTTGTATCTGGAAAACATTGCTTCCTCGAAACCATCTAGCACAACTGGCTCTTAGTATGTCTTTGCCCCCTCTCCTAAAAAGATTCATGAGCCTTTAGGGAAGTGGTATGATATAGATATCCCATTTAGGGCTGAGAAATCCAAATTCTCTTTATTCTCTGCATATTTACCAGTTAATTAAGAGCTATTGCAAGAAGCTTCTCACTTTATTACTATGCTCAGTTAGCAGAATAATAATAGCAAATTTTCACCTAGGATCCATCATCTATCAAGCCTCAGTTTTTTTACATCGTTGCTAGCATCAGGCAAGGTACCTCTCATATAAAGGGCCTTAAATCCCATCAAAAAGTGACTGGTTGCTCCTATAACACTGTGCCACTATTGCGTCAGTGGACATATCTTGCAGGTAGATCATTATTGTAACTTGTAGTGTTTGAAGCTAGATGAGATTGATAATAACTTTTCTCCTCCAGTGGCATGTAGAGTACTTTCCAGCACTATGGAAACTAACTAGCTACAGTGAAGCTTCCAGATGAGTACCAGTTAGCTTTCTTCATATTCTACAACATAAGTATGTAGTGTCTTCAACAATACAGACTTACCATCAAATTGTGGAGGGTAACCAATAGCATTGGCAATAGCCTGTAATGTTTGGAAGGTCTATGGGACACCATTGGCCAACAACTCAAAAAGATGTAACCCATTCCTGGCACTAGGGGGTTTATTTAGTGGCATACAATTTTTAGCTGGAATATTGTATCCCCTGCTATATGGTAACTCCATTTACACTCTTTTTATTCATGTACATATTTTAGAAGGATTCTATACTAGTAGGTTTCCATATGGCTTTTCAGAAAGCCTTAGTGTTAGTTATGCCTCCACATATTCCATCATCTACCCTGTACTCTCATTCCCAAGACCATTTAATCCTCCTGTAAACTATGTATTTATGGTTCTTGTACTCGCTTATATGTACTTTTAATGTAATTTGTTTATTAATTCTTCTGAATTTCATACATGCATATAATATGTTTTAATCATAATTGCCATATACTTGAGCCTCCCCTCAGCTCCTCCTAGATCCACTTCCCCCCTCCCCACTGCCTCCCAACTTTGTGCACTATTTAATAACCCACCAAGTCCAGTTGTGTTGCTCATATATTCATGGGTATGGGCCCATGCACAGGAATTTCGTTCACATACCACACCCCTAAAGAAATCTGATTTCCCCTCCCCAGTTATCAATAGCTCCTCAGTCATGGGTGGGCACTCACAAGGCTCTCCCTCCTCCATGCTGATCTGTTGTCTGACTTGGTCTTATATAGGCCTTGTAAAGGCAACCACAGCTGCTGTAAGTTCATGAGTGCAGAAGTTCTGTCGTACCCAGAAGACACTATTTCACTCTGATCCTCCATGATCTCTGGTTCTTACCACCTCCTCTTCCAAGATATATTTCTAGCCTTGGGGGTGGTGAGTATAATACAAATATCCCATGTGTGGCAGAGCAGTCCACTACCACTGCCCTTTGACGAGCTGTGAGTCTGGATTATAACCACCATCTACTGCACACAGAAGCCTTTGTAATGAGCTCTGAGAGCGGTCGTACTCTATGGGTATTAGAGATATAAATTTACGAGGTAGTTTCATGCTATGTCTGTTTGACAAAATAATAGCAGACTCACCTCAGAGGACCTGTGAGCTCCCCCATCATGGGGTGTGTGTTTCCTCTTGCCATGCTGGTTCTTGATGTGGTTCAGAGCTGGATAAGATTACTGAAGACTTTCTCCTCATCAGCCTACATAGCATCTTGGCTAGACATCAAGGAGGAAGTGTCCTGGTCAGCACTATCTTGATTTCTCCGTGCCCTGTGACTAAAGTGTATGTATAGCAAAAGGGTCTTACCATCAAGTTCTGGTAGACAACTAAGAGTAATGGCAACTGCTTGTATGTTTTTGAGGGCCTCTGGGACACCCCTGGCCAACAATTCCAGCGGAAGATCCCGCAGCTGGCACTGGGCTTTTTATTTAGCAACCCTTGGTTTCTGGAGAAAGCATTATCTCCTGTGAAGGAAACGCTAATTAAACTCTTTTATATGGTGTGTGTGTGTGTGTGTGTGTGTGTGTGTGTGTGTGTGTGTGTGTGTGTGTGTTTCCATATGGCTTTTGTAAGCATCCTTATAATTATCCCTGCTCCTACACCCACATCTACTGTGCCCTCCCTTCCCTCTAACCACTTAAAACTCCCTCCCTCCCCATCATTTCCCTCTCTCCCTGCATGTCACCTGTGTTCTACTATCTACTTTCTAAAGATCTTTCTTCACCTTCCCTGCCAATGGCCCCTTTCTAGTTTCCTGGTATCTACAGATACCCGCCACCCCCACAACCAAAAATATAATAAAAAAAAAACTGAACACTAGGGCATTACCACATCCTTGTTAAAAATAATTTCCAGTGGCAAATATACCTATATAGATCTTCAACATCTAAAGATCACAAAGAAAGAAAAATCAAACAAGTGCCATGCTTTTCTAACTCAATCCATGGCATCAAACAATCCACTATGACATTAAAACACTGCATTTAGCACCGAGGGAATCGAAGAGATTACCCACCCGCCTCCATGTAGCAACCCTACCTAGGTGTTACTTCCTAGTTTCCAGACAGATGAACTTAAAGGTGGCCATTTCTTACAGAGAAATATTCATTTCACATTTCGATATTACCCCACAAAAGAAAAGGCTCAGGACTAACACAGCCATTCTCCAACCTCCTCTAGAAAAAGGATGATGCTGAATGATAGGGGAATAGCAGCCTTTCATAGCCATCTATATCTGTAGGTATGTCATGGCTTGGGGCTTGGAAGAGGGAGGAAAAACAACAGAGTGGCTCTTGTATCCTTATGGACAATTAACAAAGAAGGAGGGTGAAATCTCAAGTTCCTTGGCTCCCAGTGACACAGCAGGACTTGTGACTTCCCCAGTCCTGGAACCCCCGCTATTTGCACTGTATCATGGTAGGGACAGATTGCTTCCAAATGGCAAGATTCAGGGTGGCTTTTTACAAGAGCTGAGATTGCTACCTGGGTTTTGAAAATTGCACAGTTCTTGGACAAACAGCCTCCTTTTTCCTTAAAACCACACAGTTTTCTAAATTTGTCTGTGGGTGAGGACATGTATTTATGTGGAAAGACACACGATGAGGCATTCATTTACTCGGTTCTAGCCTAATCCACCAGAGTCAAGTGGTAGACACGGTGGTTTGGCAATTTGTGCAACCCAGATTCCAGGTAACCTTTCTCTATTTCAACAACTCACAAACAGAAAACAACCAAAAGGTCACTGTCTTCTGAGTGTCAGAGGTCTCTGCCTTCAGTGAGAACACCATCTGCCTGAGCATAAAACTCATCTGAGTGGGCCATGTATGCTGCTCCTCAGTTCTTACTCTACCTCCCCTGAATCCCATCAGCAGGAAGTAAGAGAAACGAACTTGGGAAGGAGCAACAAGCTCTGGACTCTGAGCTCTGAAGAACACAATCAACAGAGGGAATTTCATTCCTGCTCTGCAGGACTTCAGTGTTCTGATTCCTCACTGATAATCCACATGCCTCATCTTCACCTCATCTTCAGACATGAACTTAAGGTGCAGAAACTCAAATGCTTATTAACTTTTCCTCTTGAACAGGCACCAGAAACTCACTAGGTCCAAAACCATGCCCCCTCCTGAGGCCTACATCCATCCAAACACCTTCTTCCAGAACATGAGATTCACTGGCCACTCGTTGTTCCTCACTAGCTGCAATCACCATAGTCTTTCTTTCCTTTCCAAGTATTTTGTGGAGTCCATTTTTCCTTCTCACACTTTAAGCTGATTTAAGTCAATTGATTCTCAATCTCTATATTAGTTTTTGTTGTTGTTGCTGTGATAAAACTCTGACCCAAAGCAGCTTTAGGTGTCTCTATGTTAAGCAAGGTATAGGTGCTCTGCTTTTAAAACCACTTAATTAAAACATGGTTTGGATCCTTCTGGATTGCACAGATAAGCATAAGTTATTAATATAATATGGCTGGGTCAAGATGAAGGTATAGTTTGCAAATTTAAAGGTTGGAAGCTATGATGATTAGTTTTGGTTTTTGTTTTTGTTTTTTTTGTTTTTTGTAAACTTGACAAATTGACAAACTAGAGTCACCTGGATATAGAGGGAACACCAACTGAGGAATTGCCTCCATCAGATTAGCATGTTGGCCAGTCTGTGGGGCATTTTCTTGATTGACGATTGATATGAGAGGGTCCAGCCCACTGTGGGTGGTGCCACCTCTGGGCAGGGATATAGTATATTGCTATAGTTGTTCTATTAAATTATTAGTGTTTTAATCTCATGCTACACGTAATTTATAAACTAAATTATCATGGATACAGGTATAGAGGGGAAGGCTGTCTCTATGGGTGTCATGGTTTGAATGAGATTGTCCCCTCTAGGCTCATTTATTTGAATGCTGGGTCCTCAACTGGTGGCACTATTTGGGAGGTTTAGGAGGTATGGCCTTGCTGGAGGAAGTATGTCACTGGGGGGTGGGTTGAGAGTTTAAAGACTATAGTACTTCCTGTTTTCCCTTTCTGCTTCCTGTTCATAGTTCAAGACCTGAGCTCTCAGTTTGTTGCTCCAGTGCCATGCCTGTCTGCTTGCCACATCTCCTCGTCATAAAGGTGATGGATTCTTATCCCTCTGGAACTGTAAGTCCGAATAATTCCTTCTATCAGTTGTATTGGCCATGGTGCTTTATCACACAATAGAAAAGTAGCAAGTGCAACAGGGACTAGTATGATCTGAGGTTTTCCACTTCATTTTCTGTTCGTTTTTATTTGAGAATGTCAGTTCCAAATGCTGTTGTGCATTTGGAGAACCCCTGTATCACATGATAGGTGCTGCAATTCTGCATGGGATTATCAATGTTCTTCTGCTGCTAATTGTTATACAGACTACATGCCAAGTTTTCTACAAACTCACTGTGGTTGATGCACTAACCTACTCACTTGTCTAATGGTCTGTAAAAACCCACCCCATCTCCTCATAAGTCATATGTGCCCACTACCTACAGTTAACTGATATTTCCTGACTCTTCTCCTGGCATGGACTTCTGATGAGGTAAGTGTTGGTTCATCTCCAAAACCATGTTCTTAGATCATTTTCTAACCTCTCAGTAAACAGAAGAATAGTCAATGGCATCATAGTTTCAGCACAGATCTTACTAATTGATTAAACAGATGTTGTTAAAACCAGAAAAAGTGGACAATCACTTCCGTGCAGTTTTACAAAGAACAGGCTGTATGTGACATGCCTAAGTACACCACAGATGGCCCAGGACTGTGACGCTCTGATTAGAAGGTGTGCTCCTTTTCGGGACAAGTAATCCATGCAGAACTAAAATCCTGATGCACAGAATTTAAACAAAGCTCTGTGGGAGTGCAATACTTCCTAAATATACCAAAAGCCTCAGAGTAGAGGACGTTACAAAAGTTATCCCATGGGTGAAAAATGTATGATTGTTCTTAGGCTTTTCCAAAGCTTTAGTCAGACAGAATGTTGGTTGCACTAGAGAGCATGCTTTCTCAGTCAGTCAGATTAAATCTAAACTCTTAACCCTGGAACTTGTGGGTCCCTTCGTTTGATGCCTGTAGTGGTTCCAACTCTTTCTCTCTAGCAGGTAGTAGTCTGGGTTGTTCAGAGTGCTTTCAGACACCACGGCAACCGAGAAATCCTGGTTCTGGATCATGGATCTGATTTCTCTGGGGACATCTTTTCAGGTGCGAGGCAGCATGAGCCTCAGCCCGACTTGTTGACATGTTGTGCAACTGAGTTTCAGTGATACCACCACATGGTTTCCATTTTAAATGAGGCCAACCTCTCACACCGATAGAACGCTCGACTAACCTGTGCAAGGCTGACCCACAGCACCGCCAAAAAGGGAAAAAAAAAAAAACCAAACAGATCCAGGAAAACGTGCAGCCATGTCAACATGAAATCAGGGTGAAGTCCTGTAGCTTGCCTTATTTAGGTTGGTCCAAGTCAGTTTCTCAGCTCCAGCCACTTCATGGAATTCTCCATGCCCATCTTCATATTGTTTTTAAACAACCATAGCTCTTCTATCATGTCTCCTTATTACCTTCGCTTACTGAGTCCTGATATGAATGACTCTGAGAACTAGCAATCCCACAAATTGTAAACGAAACTAACAAGATGGTGTTTTTAAACCTATACATAAAGTTTTCCATGTTTGTTACTAAGAATGTGCAAGTACTGATTCAGTCTTGATATTAAAATATAGAAAGTTTAACATATGGTATTCGCATGATGGTAACTATTAGTTCATAAGAATGGAAAGTATTCCAAAGCACTAAAGAAGATAAGAGCTAATGGAAGGTAATCAATACGGCAGCACAGCAGAGAAAAAAAATGAGAGACTGTGACACACGGTGACAGAATAAAGAGCAGAAGGAAGGCAGCAACTCCCAGTGCATCCCAAGGGAAGGAAATGAGTTCATCTCCAGAAAGCCAAAGGCACCTTTTCTCTCTTTCCTCCTTCCTCCCTTCCCTTATTCCCGCTCTCTCTCTTCCCCTCTCTTCCTACCTCCCTCTTTAGGTCTCTCTCTGACAGGAAGCAGAACAAACCCAAATTGCCTGCTGTTCAGAAGAGACACACGAGTTTAAAAGAGCATAAAGATGTTCAAAGAAAATAAAAGAAGGGCTCATATTAGTATGACACTGAGTAGAATTCAAGCTGGAAGTGTTCAATGAATAAAAGACAGCTCCTCGATGTCAATAGAAGGTGTAATCTAGAACAAAGATAATACAGAACCAAATATGCTGTGACAGATATCCAAATATATAAAGTGAAGGGTAACAGGACTCTAGCAAATCACTTTTCTGAAGGCAGTTGCATGTGGCTTTATTTTTGACAAGCTTAATAAGAAGAAGTAATATAACGTATAGATGTTTATGTAACATGAAAAAGTCTTGGACATTCTGCAAAATGAAATTCTTTCTCCTCACATGTTGAAAAGCTTACTAAAGCACTTACATGAGATGACACAGAGGGAGCTTTAGGAATCCAAATAAGTGACATAAAACTGGCCTTGTTACATGATTTTTGTAAAAGAATGGTCTAAGCTTTTTAAATTGCAATTAGTGACTACCATTTAGTCATTTAAACAGACTTGTAAATAATGAGCTAAATATTGAAAGCATTAATATAAGTTCAGATGAGCAATGGAGTACTGACCAAAGCGTGTTAGGAATCCAAATGGGGAAAACTGTCCACAGACTCATGTCTAGGAACAGTTGACCACAATCTGATGGCACTGAGAAGCTGTGGAATCTTTAGGACATGGGGCTTACCTAACATTAAGGCTTTACAGTTGGGGCTTATGGGTAATAGCCCAACTGTAACTTCAGGTCTCTAACTCCTGATTGGATAGAGGGCAGGCCACCTCACACTTCCATCACCAACGTGGAGAGGTTTCCTTACATCTAATAGTCAGGAAGCAGAGAGTAAACAGGAAGTGGGGCCAGGATACAAAGCCTCAAGGCCGTTCCCAGCGGCCCACTTCCTCTAGTGTGCCTCTACCTCCTAAAGGTTCTGCGACCTTCCAAGCAGAACCATTCATTATTTGAGCAATAGAGTGTTTAGACACATGAGCCCATGGAAGACACTTCATATTCAAACCATAATGTTCTGCTCCTGGCCCATAGGTTCATGGCCATCTCACAATCCAAAACATGTTCATTCCAGCTTCAAAAGTCCTCATGGCCTATAAAAGTCCCAACACTATTTGAAAATCCAAAGTCTCTTCTAAGAATCAAGGCTCTTAACTGGAACGACCTATAAAATGAAAAATAAATAAATAATTACTTACAATGGCACAGAGTGGAAATTCCAATACCAAAAGAAAGAGATGTGGGCATAGAAACGATCAGACCAAAGCAAGGCTGGATCCTCTCGGGGAGAATACTGCATCCTCTAACTCTATGCCAAGCATCTGGAACTCCTCATGGAATTATCTGGCCTCTAAAGGGCTTGTGGCCTCACCTCTCCATCCCTGCTTCTGCAGCACCAACAGCTTCTCGTCTGGTCTGGCTCCATGCCATGGCACAGCCTTGCATGACCATGGATGACCCATGGTCCTGGCATCTGAAACATCATGCATTCTCCACTGAAACCTGGCTTCACCTTCACAACTTCATGCAATGGTCTCTTGGGGCTTCTTTGAAGAGACTCCAACCCTGCCACACACGGTCTGGCCCCCATGGCTTGCTGAAAATATAGAGCAATACACACACACACACACACACACACACACACACACACACACACACACACACACACACCTTATATTTTTCATGCTGCAAGCCCAGCACCATGTTTGACATTGCTGCTGTGTCACGCTGTCCACTAGAAAAGTCTCCTGGCCCCCTTAGACCACAGTTGAATCAGGTTCTCTGCTGACCCTGAGGAGAGCAGGGGTCCTCGTCAGTGGTGTCCTCGGTTTCAACCTTCTCCACTCAAACCAAACAGCATTTTCACAAGATGGAATCATCAGTGGGTGGTGGGTGGTTCTCAGGATACCTTTCCTGTTATCCCAGTGCAGAGCGCTGGGTTCCTCCTTAACAGCATGGATCTCTTTAGCAAACACAGCTGCTTTGGGACCTTCTTTGTTGGTGACTTGAAAATGACATTCTTGCTCTCACCAAACTACACGTTTTTCATTTGCTCTTGCTCCACATTGTGATCTCACTCCCTGTGGACCCGGGTGACAGCAGTGTGCAATAACTATCATGTAAGCCCAGTGTCATCCCAGCTTCAAGTTTCCACTGCCAAACAAGTCAGCCCATTGATTTTAAATTCAGTCTCACTCTCATTCTCAGGACAGGAGCAGAAGGCGGCTATAGCCTTTTCCAAAATAGAAACTGAATTCCTTGAGCTCGGACCCTAGGACTACAGTTTCTATTCCTCTGTGATACCTCATGGGTCAGGCCTCCACTGTCCACATTTTCCTCAGCATTCTGGTCTTCCACATTCCCGTCAGAAGAGCCCCAGACAAGCTCTGCTTTATTGTAATGGTGGCTTTGATCAGAGAGATAGTGTGGAGTGGAACCATGAAGCCTGTTTCAGGGCTTCTTAACCCCACAGTTGAACAACTTCCAAAGATCTGAGAACCACATGGCCAGGTTTAATCACATCAGTAACACCATTTCTAACACTATCTTCTTTGTTTCTTTGTTTGTTTTAATTATTTTCCCCCTTGTTTTGACAAAAAATCCTGCCTAAAAATAACTTAAGGAGGGAAGAGCTTACTTTGACTTACATTTCAAGAGGGCGCTGCCCATCACAATGTGGAAAAGATGACGAAAGGGAGGGAATACAGAAGCAAGAGACCCGCTGGTCACATTACATCCACAGCCAAGAAGCAGAGAGTGAACAGGAAGCAAGGCAGAGAAACAGAACCTCACGGCCACACCCAGGACCCAGTTTCTCCAGCAAGGCTCCACTACCTAAAGGTTCTACAACCTTCCAACAGCATCCCCAGCTCGACGCCTTGAGCCTACCGGAAGACATGTCATACACCACAGCAGTAACTAATGCAAAGCTATGTCCAAAGCTGCCCTCAAAGGAAAATTGGGAGTCCTGAGGACTCTGTTAATAAGTAAGCATGAATAAAGGTAAAAATGTTTGATCCGAAAGCTAAAAGAACATTAGGTTAGGAAGCTAATCTTCTATTCCTTACACTGGCAAATGTCAAACTGAATTAAAATTTCTATTATTAGCAAGTATATGAGAGGAGAAAGTGATCATATAAACCCTGCCAGATCGCAATTGGCTAATAAATTTGCATATTTATTGGAATGATGGATTTGGGTTGGAGTGTAGACCAGAAAGCCTGTTAAACAGTTAAATTCTTAACTGGGAAAAAGAGAACTAATATCAAGAACAAAAGAGTGAGGCGACACTGTTAAATGATTCAGGGGCCTATTATTATAGTTATTATGTACCATGGTTACAGTGACATTTCTCCTGGAGCCAGGACTGCAGAGGGGAAATTTTGTTATCTGTATCCGTAAGATTCCCAGCCTTTGTCCCTGCTCTTTGCACACCCTGTATCCTTTACTTCAGGCTCTTTGATAATGACAGAAACAAAAGATAAAACATTATTATCCTTCAACACACTTTCCCCTCCTAATGCAAGGCTTGTCTTAGCAGAGAAGTCTCCGAACCCCTAAGTACATGTCGTCATTGAGCGTGGCTCTTGACACGTCAGTGAACATGAGGAAGCACATGATGGAGTCGGCCCTCTAGGTGCTTCCTTTCTCCGGGTAGCTGTGACGCTAGCTATCGTGTTAGACTGTTGTTTCTGTGACAAGAATCTACGCAAAACAAGCTGAGGGGAGAAATGCTTCTGCCTCAGAGTTTCTGAGGTTCGGGGCATCACGGCAAGAAGGATTCACTAGAGGAGAGGAACTCACACCATGGAGGTCAGGAAACAGAGAGATAGAATGCCTGCACTCTCTGGCCTCCTCCTCTTATTTCAACCAGTCCTCCACTCAATGGGATGATGCTCATATTCAGGGTGGGTCGTCCCCTGTTACTTAATCCTATCTACAGTTGCCTTCAGGGTCCTACAGAGGGATATCATTGACTAATTTCCCAATTATCCAGTACAATCACACTAGTGATCAAGATTAACCATCATAGCCACTGGCAACATTGTTAACTAGAAGGTCACATGACCTTATTTCAATATTATTTGTCTTTGCCCCTAGAATCCCAGCACCTCCTGTACACAAGTCCATTCTTTTTATTTTCAGACTCATTCTCTAGAAGGTCCTTTATTGACTGATTCACACTATAGCATGGTTATCTCAAAGGGTATTTTCTTTAGACCAATGATTGACATTTTAACTACTGACATTTTTCAGGGGAAAAAGGGTAGATTTTTCTTTTAGATATTATAAAATTCAAACATAAAAATATATTCTGGAATTGTCCAGCCTAGAAAAATACCATATCAGCTGCATACAATTACTAGAAATCTGTGAATTAGTCTAATTTCACAGTAGAAATTACATCAATAGATAGATGGATGGTAGATGATGGGCAGATGAAGATCAAAATAAGCAGATACATACATACATATATACATACATACATAAATACATACATACATACACACATACATACATAGACGATTGACAGATGATAGCTAGATCATAGCTTGATAGATGATTGATAGGTAGTAGACAGTAATAGAGCAATCTTACATAAGACAGTAACTTTGATCTCAGTATTTGTGTTCTTTGCTCAAGCTCTCTGCCCTGCTCCATTATCTTTCTGGATCAAAGATGTGATTCAATAAATATAAAACTGTTCAAATTGTATGAGAAGTGTTTGAGACAATTCATAGATTTTTTTTCTCCCTGAGGATATAGGCAGATGCCGGAAAGGCTCCACCGTGCTGACATAGACGTGTTTCTAGCCGGCAAACTCCTTGGTCTTTGGGAGCACTTCGCTCCCTGTCTCTATTGGTTCCAGCAGTGGGGTTCTTAGCTGTCTTGAGCCAGCTTCTTTTGGTTTTCTGCTCTGCTGTCAGAAAACTGAAACCACCTAACTTGTGAAGGAAACTCTGGGCAAAAAACCAAATGTGGTTCATACAGCATGTGTTTATTCTGAGTGGATGATGTTTACCCCCAGTGATGCTTCCCTGATTTCTACCTGCTGCTTGGATGATCAAGCCATCTCTTGTCAAAACCAGGAAGGAAAGAAATCAGGTGCTTGAATCTTGCTCCCTGGATGTGGCTCTCACTTTCCCAAGGAAGGAATCATAGATCTGGATCGGTTGACAGACCTCTAGTGATCTGTGACTGAGTAATATTTTAGCCACGGATGATCATGGTTCATGCCTGTAAACCCAGCACTTGAGAGGGTTGAAGCCAGAGCAGTAGTTCTCAACCTGCGGGTCGCGACCCCAGGGTCTAATGACTTTTCACAGAGGTCCCATCTCAGATATCCCACATACCATATATTTATAATTCATAACAGTAGCAAAATTACAGTTATGAAGTAGCGATGAAATAATTTTACGGTGGGGGGGTCACTATAGCATGAACTGTATCAAGGGGTCGCAGCATTAGGAAGGTTGAGAACCACTGGGCTAGAGGCTGACCACAAGCTTAAGGGTAGTCTAGGCTCCAAAGTGAGACCTAGACTCACAGAAATAAATAAGTATTTCCTTATAAGGAAATGCTTTCCCTGTTTTAGGAGAGATACAATAAAGACTATCAATGGGTTAGCTTTCATCCACTTGGACTGATGTTCCAAGAGGGAGACAGAAAATGCCACAGATTGGAAATGGGGGGGGGGGGCGAACAAGATCCATTGCTTGATCAAACTTTTCTTCTTTTCTTTCTCTAAATCGTCTATCTGATAAGAAAAAAAAAAAGCCACCCTAAAGACTCTCCATCAAAAACCCTTTTTGAAGGAAGCAGAGTAGAAAAGAATAATAAAGAAAATGGGGAGGGGTGGGGAGGGTGAAGAAGGGGAACAGTCGATTCCACTCACCTCCCTGTGACCAAGACTCCCGTCCAGGCTTCTCAGGTGTAAATACGGATGTAGGAGCAGCTTCACAGTTCACCAAGGGGTAACCACACAGAGAGAATGAGGAGCTGCCAGGTGAGAAGAACTGAGGAATATAGGGAGGCATGCGTTGCCATATGCTCTGTGGGCTCCCTAAGTTACTGCCTGTGTGCACAACCAGCTTGGCCCGCCCCTGGACAACTCTTCCCTCTCTCTGTCTCCCTTCAAGAGTCACTATCTACCTCCTGGAGCCAAGCCAAGTATCCAGTCTAGGTTCTTAGGAGAGCCAGCCCTAAGATACACCTCATATTCTTAAAGACTGGGAGTCAGTTTTCCACAGAGGGAATCCCTAGTCCTTCAAACCGACTTGATCTCAAAGAGCCTTTTCAACAAGGGACGGATTGAAAAACAATTTGTAACTCTCTTGGTTCTGCTTTCTCTTTTCCTTCTGTCTTCTGAGAAATCAAATCCCTGCCAATCCAAAGGGAGCAGCAACGTGGGCCCTAAATCTTCAGACCAACGCTTGGGAATTTTGCTCGTCCAAGCTTTCGTAAAAAGCAATGGAAAGAGACCCTGTCATCACAGGCCAGGCCTTTAGTGGTCCCACCTCTGTCTTTAAATCAGTCATAACTAGTGCTTCGGTAAGTACCTAAATGCTGAACTTTCAAACAATGGGTCTCTTAACTTCCAGTGTGTGTGTTCTGTGATATGAAAGCTAACATTGAAAAAAGTTACCATGTATTATAGTACACAGCCGTGTGTGTGTGTGTGTGTGTGTGTGTGTGTGTGTGTGTGTGTGTGTGTGTGTGTGTGTATTTAAAACATTCCTCACATTCCAGAATGCTAATTTGAGGCCAAATGGAAAAATGTCTCTTTAACCCCTTCGCTGGCAGAAACTCATTTGAACGTCTGTTAACCCAGACTGCAAGGTCGGCATCAATTCACCAAAAATATTTTGAAAATGTGAAAAGTTGGATGAAGACAGACGGCTGGTGTTTGGGCCAGATGGATGATGCCCGTTCGGCTCTTGCTTCCTGAGGATGATGGGAAAGAGCCAGGACAGAGGAAGGAGGGAGAGGCATTGGGGTGGGAGGGGAGCACACCCAGGCCGGTGGGGGAGCACTCCCAGGCCGGTGGGGGAGCACACCCAGGCCGGTGGGGGAGCACACCCAGGCCGGTGGGGGAGCACTCCCAGGCTGGTGGGGGAGCACATCCAGGCCGGTGGGGGAGCACTCCCAGGCCGGTGGGGGAGCACATCCAGGCCGGTGGGGGAGCACACCCAGGCTGGTGGGGGAGCACACCCAGGCTGGTGGGACGCCTGAGGAGCCAAAAGCTCCCTGGAAGACGACAGATCTGGCTGCAGCCAACAGGATGGGGCTCTAGCCGAGATCTTCCCAGGAAGGCTTCACAGCTGAGAACAGTCTTTGAGGAGGTAATTTGAAGTTACAGGGCTCGCTTTCCTGATTTTCTTTTTCTTCCAAAGGCCTAATGATGCCACCCCCTCATTCTTTAACCAGAATTTTACATTTTTAACATCAAGGTCCCTGGAAGAAAATATACGCTGTGCTTTTTCCGTTTTTACAAAGCCCGAAGGAAAGAGAAGGGGGTAAAGGACTCAAGGGAAATTTGCTTTTAAAAGCCAGTGATTTCCTTCCTACGATGGTTCCCCAAGTTAATTCAGGCAACTTGTTATTTGAAAATCCACGTTATATTTTTCAGAGGGGTAGTTCTGCCTTTCTTAAGCTCTCTGTTGAGAGAGATTGAAGTATTCAAATGTTATTTCCCCCTTTCCTTCTCTTATCCCAAAGTAGATGTTTCCTCACACCAGTCAGGAAATCACCAAACACTCTCAACAGTGTGAGCACATGCTTGAAATGTGCTCAGTAAACGCCTCAGTGCTTGCTTGCACATCACCAGCCAGGGTAAATAATACTTAAATAGTATCCACCTTCTCAGCCAGGGGGGCAATTTCTCCACCAGAATCCCCTTCCTGTTTGATTTCATTACGTTCCGCAACACTATCAGCAACGTTAAGTGTGCTGTAAAATTGGAATTGTATCATCATTTGTGTTCATTAGTAACCTTGCTTGCAGAGAAGCTTTAGGACAGTTTCACTCCCGTGGTTTAGACAAATACTTCACTACAATTTCTATAATGGCCTTGAAGCTGGGAGTGCACTGTGAGCCCCTCCACATGTCCAGTGTTCCAAATCATCTCAAAAGTAGCTCGTTACACCATTCTCTGTATTAAGAGCCCATCTTGCTAGCTCTCCTCATGTATTTTAACAAATAGACTATCAGTCTTTAACCACTCAAGACTATAAGTAGGCTTTGAATAAGTAGAAATTAAAAAGCATTAGTGTATCAATCATATGACTTGAAAAAAAAAACACTGAAGACTGATAGATTTGAGGTGGATTTTCTAAGACAAAGACAGGCTGGGGAACCCACAGGGGAATGGATGTTTATTCATAAATCCAAGTTGAGTTAATTGAAACAATCTAGGGGCAGTTTTTTTTAACACAGCATTCATCAGAAGTGCCACAATTGTCTTTCACAATGGATTCATTCGCCAGTACTGTATTTGCATCTCTCTCCTTCAAGGACCAGCTTTAGCCAATTAAAAATGATTTATGGCCCTGGGTTTACAGGACAGGCATTTTGGAGAGTTCATCCATGTGAATGAGCATGGCAACATTTTCATCTGGTGGTCACCGGCATTTTTTTCCCCAGGGTTCTATAATCTGATTGGTTGACCATGAGAGGTGAAGGAGCTTTAAGAGTTTGATATAATCAACGTAAATGCTTATTGATTGTTCAAACTGGGAACGCACGCCCTGTCAACCTATAGAACCAGAGCTATCTTCTCACCCCAACACCGTGCTCCCTCTGTGGGTCTGAGCTGTCTATCAGTTTCTTACTCGATATCAGGAGTGACAGACCCTTCGAAATTTGAATTAACCATGTGCTTTGTAGCTAATACATCAGGGATTATAGATTATAATATGTCTTATATATCGTGTTGCAAATCTGTTTCTTTTTAATGAAAGATGGAGTGAAACAAAATTTTTAACTAAAAATGTTCTAGGAGAGAATGAGCCATATCATAATTGAACTAAAAAGAATTCAGAAGATCAACTCCTTAGATTAGTGTTTTTTAAAAATGAAAACATGTTTTAGACATGTTTTTTTTTAATGAAAGCAATTCTGAAATATTTATAAGTCCACCCCATTTCCTTTTCACTGTTTATATTTGGCCTTACTCTTCCTTCACATCCATCCAGTTTCTCACTGTCTAAAGCAGCCATTCATCAAATTTAACATGGGCTTCCGCACTACCCTTGCTACCATCTGCCTCTTTTCTTACTCTGCCCCTCCAGTCAGAACATTAGGGCTGAAGGAACTGTTCCAGAATATTCCATTCAAAATAATTTTAATATTCCCCCTTACAGGCAACCTGGGACTACTACAGATATGTCTCTGGGGCCACAGCAGAGAGAGAAGATGAATATTTCAAGACCATTGTTCTCTGTGATTGCATTGGACAATACACCTTTTGACCACTCAATAGATCATGCCCCCCCCCACATTCAAGGCATTGATACTCTCACGTTTATTAGCTTAATAGAGTAGCAAAATATCACTTGAAAAGGCATTCTACAATTTTGAAAATGATCAAAAAGATGACTTAGCCACAGAGCCCCTCCAGGGCCTTGTCTTATTCTACCTGATTGAGTTTAATCGCTTGGTTTCAATCTAATGCCGTCTCTTCACAGCATAGTAAACTTTGCTTATGCTGATGCTATCTCACAACCTCTAACAAATTCATACAAAACAGGTAAGATGATAACGTGAGGGGTGACTCATCCCTAACAGGCTTGAGGGCCAGCCAGCCCAAACCAGTAAAAAGATACTTTCTGAAAGCCAACCTGGGTCTGCCTAAGGGCCTTAGCAACAGCAGCTGGAACATGATCTGAAGATGAACTAGACCAATGAGAGGCAACCATGTCATATCAGCAGATGCATATTCATCAGACCTCCACCCGGGGTGGGGTGGAGGGTACATAAGGCTTGCCTCTTCCTGAATAAACTGAGCTTGTTGTTTCAACATTCTCCCAGAGTCTGTGTTATTGACTCTGCGCCTACTTGCCGCACCCCCCCAAAGGGAACAATAGCACAGGACCCAGCCACAATACAGAACTCAAATATAAACTATTTAAAGGAAAAAACAAAATTACATAACAGACAGACTAGACACAAATCAAAGTGGCTATCCTGATTTCCCTTCAAGTCTTTGATTCAGTTATACCCTTGGTGAATCCCCCGCCACCCCTGAACAGCCTATCCCATATCTCAGCTACTTCTTTGGTCGTATTCACACTTCTCTTCCTTTTCTCTCTATCTCCAAACTGGGTCAACCAACATTTCTGGAAACTGCTGTTTCACAAGCAAAAGTAGAAAGTAAAGCAGGGGACTGGAGAGAGAGAGAGAAAGAGAGAGTCCTTTTGAAACTTTTGTAGGTGGCCTTATCTTTACAGTCCCATTTATCCATCAGTCACCATTTGCCCAAGCATACGGAGGAAGGCAGTGCTTCTCTGCAGTGATGGAGTGCCGTGGTGAAATGAAGACAGCTAGAAGATATCATTACATCCCATTTTCTTGAGAATCCCTAAGCCTGTGTTGATGGGTACCACCCCAAAGCTAGATTTTCATTCTGATCTGGGAAAGAACAAAGATTTTAAAGCAAATGCTTGGAGTTGGGGATTATCTCTTTAAACACGAAGGCTCCCTAGGTCTCTTTCAAACAGCAAGCCTTAAGTTTCTCCTTCTGAGCCAACTGTCTTCACCTCTACGTGGGTTTCCTTCACAAGCAGAGTGTTTTCATATTTTTATGTGCTTCCCACAGTATTTTGAAAAGGACACAAAGAACATAAAATCATATGTTCCAACAAAGACATTCTACTTACAACTACCCACGTAGCCGGCTTCCTTGCTTCGTACAGGGGCATTCTGAATTCTGATGAGTAGGAAAAACCCGATGAACCACATGGATGTGGCTCTGCCATCGTTAGGCTTGGTAGTGGGAAGATTCCAATCTTGTCAAGTTGCAAATAACACACTGAATGTACTTCTGTTCACTGTGTTGACCAATTTTAGGAAAGTCTCCATCCTGCTTGCTAAGGCAGCTCCCTTATTAAATTTTCAATTTCCATACAGTTTGTCCATAATCAGACAATTATAACCCTAGAGTCAGTGTTTTTCCAACTTTCCTTTTTTTTTTTTTTTTGCAACTGTGGATATGCCTTGTTAATGTGCTTGCCAATTCAAAACCCAGGCTCAGAGACAAGGAGAGCTCTTTTGCCTTGGCTCCCAGGGCTGTAACAAGAGCACCATAAATTTCCTGTGAATATACCTCTGGCTTCTTGCCCCTGTGCAGGACAAATCAAGTCCTGGAGAACGTCCACCTCTCAGAATCCTTGGCTTCCTGCAAAACACCATCACAGTGGGATTCGACTTAGCTCTTTGTAGTGCTTAGAAAAAAAAGAGTACCTAAGACCTAATTGCTTTGTTTGCCTTTTAGTCTCTCTTGGTGGCCTATGCAGTCATAAGAAGAAAATAAGAAGGCTTATGAAACAGTTGCTTCTAGGGACCAGGCCTTATGCTGAGTTCTAGGGATTAAAAGTATGAGAGCCTTTGTCTTTACTAAGAGAAACACAGCCAAAAGCAGGTGAGTCTGCCTTCATTGCTGAGACAGGACAAACCAGGAAGATGCTCTCTAAGTGAATAGCCATCTTATCTAAAGGAATGACAGTATCCCTGAGACCCTTGAGAAAGGAACCCAGCAAACTGTTCATGGTTAATTACATCAATTAAAAAAAGTTAAGACTAACATCTGATTACAGTAAACTGAGATAGTCTTGGAGACAAGTCTGATTCTATTTATGAATATAAAGTTTTGTGTATGGAATCTGAGAGACCCAAACTAACAAAACTAAAGGAGCAAGAAAAGAAATAGTCCCTGTCACCATGAGCTTCGCAGGAAATGAGTGCCAAGGGTCTGGTTTGCAAAATGCAGGTGCAGGCTGCCAACATGGACAACCTGTCACAGCTAAGGGACCATGGCCACGTGCATCTCAGATACTACAAAACTGCACAAATAAAAGTAAATAAAACCTAGACATTCACTCTCCTGAGCACGCCTCCTTTACTTGTGATCTCGTCACAGATGAGATAAGCAGAGAACTCAGCCCGGAAACCTCAGCAGAGAGAGTGATCTACTCTACTCAAATTCTTGAAAGTATCTCCTGGTGATGAGAATAACACAGAGGTAGATGAGCCTCATTAATCACTGATGGGTGATCCCAAGAGGAAGAAAGGTCCTTGGAAGAACCCAAACTCCCTCCCAGCTCTCTGTGCACTGGACTCTGCAGGTCTGCTTAAAGATGCGTAGAATTTCGTGTAGTGTGATAGTCCCTGGAGGATCCTTGCACGCATTCCTCTTTCTACTCTGTGTGATAGAACACTCACTTACAATTTCCTTCCTGGATAGCCTTAGAGGCTTGTAGAAACTGTAAATATTTAGTTCTTGAAGTCAAAACTATCCAATTTTGTTCAAAATATCTCTCTGGGAAACTCTCAAACATCTGTTTAGAACATCTCCAAGCCAGTTCCTAGCCTAACACAAACTACAAAACATATACACATATATACACAAAGAGAGTGATGGCATCTGCAAGAGAATAAGATACATGGAAGATGTGGATGGTGGAGGGCATGGTCTGGAACACAGATGTACCAACTGGCATGCTTGGGTGGGGGGGGGGCACTGAACTCCAAGTGTCTCAATCACATGGGCACATTATTTTTTCTGTAAGTGAGAGGTTCAAATGTAGGGTGGCTCTAGAATGGATTGTTTTAGCCATCCTTGTTGAAGTGTTTTTCAGCAGTTTTGCAGTGCCTCCCATCATGAGCCATCTCTTTTTCCCTTATCCTTTGTCCATGGTTGCACCCTGGCTACAGATCCTTCGGGTTTCATATTCCACCCATCAATGTTCAGGAGGGGAAGCCAGAAGACATTGCTTTCTTTCACCTCTTTTCCATAGCAAGTACACCTTTCTAGGACCCGTTATGTGAAATTATCTTTGTCTTTCTCTTTGTTTTGTCTATTATTCACGTCAGGGAGGAATGCATGTGGAAGTCAGAGGACAGACTTCAGGAGTACTCTCCTTCCATGGTGGGCTCCAGAGGTAGGAGCCCGTTCACCAGGCTTGCCAGCAAAGCACTTCTACCCACCTAGCCATCACAAATCATCTTGACGTCTTATTGAGAGAACTGTGACACAAGGCCATTTCTGTAGATGTAACCAACTGTCTTATTAAATAAGAAACACAGAACCAATGCAAAGAAGCCAAGAGATCAGAGCTAAGAGCCTTACCCGTCTGCTGCAGCTAGCCTCTTCAGCCAAGAGAGACCTACTTCCTGTGTGTTTGTCTTTATATAGACTTTCTGTTCTGCCTTCTCATTGGTTGTAAACCCAACCACATGACCGCCTTATCACTGCTGTCTGTACAGACCTCCAGGTCTTCTATGGTTGGTATTGAGATTAAAGGCGTGTGTCTCCAATGCTGGCTGTATCCTTGACTGCACAGAGATCTACCTAGCTCTGCCTACCAAGTGCTAGGATTAAAGGCATGCACCACGAATGCCCAGCTCTGCTATGGCTTACTATTAGCTCTGACCCCCAGGCAACTTTATTTATTAACATACAAATAAAATCACAATTCAGATTTCTAAATCAATTAATATCAAAACAGTGGCATTGACAACTTGGGTTTAGAGTAGTCATGCTCAGCATCCTAGAACTGGGGGATGCTGAAAATTCTTGACTGTCCATATTAGCTACTTGTTTTGTTGCCTTGACAACAGATATCTGACAGAAACAATGGAATAAAAAGGGGCTTTATTTGGGCTTATGGTTTGAGAGCACATGGCAGGGAAGGTGTGGTAACAGGAGCTGGAGACAGCTAACCATGCTGCTTCCATGGTCAGGAAGCAGAAATTAATGAATTTTCAACATCTGAAGAAAGATGGTGTGGCAGGAATCACTGCTGGACAGACAGTGCACACACATCCCGCCAGATGATACAGGCACTTTGGCTTGTTTTTGGTGCAAACGTCTCAGTGACTGTCTTACAGGCAAGAACAGAAAGCCCCTTAGAGCAGCAGGTAAGACCACAGCATCATGGTCAATGTGCCTATGTTCAAATCCCAACTCTGCTATTTAAAAGACTTTAGGCAAGTTACTTAGCTTTTTCTGAGCCTACACTTCTACGTATGTACAATCTCAGAGAAAAAAAAAACATAACCTATGAGTGGCTATGTATAAATTAAATAGCAAGTATATAGTTCCCCTAACTAGTATTATATTGCTTTTAACACAGTGTTACTCCACAGACTAGCTCTTGATGCCCAAAGGATTTAAGAATCCTCCTTCCCACACTTCAAAAAAGCAAAGCAAAAGCCTCAAAAAATGCAAGGCCATCAGAAAGTCTGGAGGTGGGGATGAGAAGGGAACACAGTTTAACTGAATCAATGAAAATGTCCCAAAGGCAAAGCAGGCACTTGACATTGAAGTTCATGTTTGATTTTGGGCACATACTGATTAATCTACTTCAGGAAACGAAACAGAGAAAGCATATTTGGCAATCATAAAATATTAGCACTGGCTCAAGAAGAAGTTGCTTGACTCTCTGGGAAACACAGAGGAGCAAGGTTACATTTAAAATCAGACGTCTGGGAATTCAGTGTCTCTCACCATAGCCTTTAGCTCTCATCCTCCTCTTTATTTGTTTGGTGACTGCATCCTATAAAAATGCTTGGAGTAGAATCCTAGTGTCTCTCTTTCTCAAGTGAATTTGCAGGAGACAGAGACAACTGAGCAGGAATTCATAGGCGCTACTTTAAAACTGGTTACACCTTATGTAAGACCTTGAACATTCCAGTCCAGCCTTGTCAACTGTGAAAACTAAAAGATCTCAGTGGTTATAATTGGTGGCTTTAGAACATCACATTCCCAATCTTGGCCATACACTAAATGCAAACGTTTATTATTTAAAAAAAATCCTGTTTACTTGGCTCATGTTTACAGTCTGACTTTAAATCTATTTGG